AAACTCCTCTGGCTGTCTCCTGGCCTCCCTTGAAAGGGCTCTTACCTGCTTTCTCTTTCCCCCAGCTGGGTACTGCCTGGCACTCAGAGAATAGTGTCCCTTGAGGCACAGAGCCGCCATCTGCAGCAGGGAGCCTCGGGTTTAACATTCCTGACCTGGGGGGGAGGAGCCCTGCCTGATTCAGCAGCATCCAAAACTCAAAGCCTCATTTTCCTTCCAGTAATAATGGAAAATAATCCTGCTGAAAAGCTGGGGGTGAGTGGGGCGGGGTGGGGGGACACTTCTGTCCACACTTAGATCCTATGCGGGCCAGGAAAACTGATCTGAATGTTGGGGGAGGGGACGCCAGGCACGGGGCAGCAGGTATGCCACTGAAGGGAAGGGCCACAGGGAACCCGAGGGAAGCTGAAGTGAGTGAGACCAGTGTGGAGCTGACAGAGGCCGCTCACAGCCCAGCACTGTTTCCCACAGGAGCCAATGTAAAGATTGTTCCCACAGCAGCTCTGCCCTGCTGTGATGTTTACTTACCGATAAGACAGCCAACTTCCACTATATTTAGTGCATGAAAATCCACAGGTGTTTGATTCCAGGTGCTGCTCTGGGTTCTGCGTTTTCAGAAAGCCCTCCCTTCTCTGTTTCACTGTTCTAGTGCAGGTGAGCTGGTTTCTGACAGCTGCAGACACCTCACCACCACCGCCGACACACACACACACACACACACACACACCTGTCCTCCAGCCCACAGGAAATCTAAGTACGGGTGTATTAGACATTCTTGGTTAAGAGAATGAGGGGGGGGGGTTGTGCTCCAATTCTAATTTAAAACTTCATGCCATACACAATAGGAATCCTGGTTTGGTTTGAACTGAGTTGTCTTAATCTTCCTATTAAAAATGTTGGGCAGGGAGGAGTGCTGTGAGAGGGATCACTGAGTAAAGGTGCCGCCACCAAGACTGACGACCTGAGTTTGGCCCCTAGGGCGCATATGATAGAATAACCAGCTCCCACAGGTAGGCCCGTAACTTCCTGCATTCATACATGTGCCCATTCACGCACACAGACCCCATAAATAAATGCTACTTAAACTTTCTATTATTGTGTTACTTATCACACGGCGTATATACGAGTGCGTGGGTGTGGCACAGTGCGTGTGTGGAGGTCAGAGGACAGCCTGCAGAAGGAGTTGCGTCTCTTCTTGCACCAAGTGGGCCTCAGGGATTGAACTCAAGTCGGCAGGCTTGGCAGCAGGCACCTCCACCAGGTGAGCCATCTCTCCACTCAACTTCTGTTTCTAACAAGTCAGTTCAGTCCGTTGCTATGCCCTCTTCCCTGTTCCTCTCAAACGCCCCTGCCAGAAGGTAGGTGTGTCTTCCACCTGCCTCCCTTGGACACGGGGTGGACACACAGCGTACTGTAGCGGGGCTAAAAGTCCCAGCCCCGAAGTCAGCCCCTAGCGTCCACCTTGCTTTTTGGTCTCATCTGTACAAAGTTGATCTGTCTCAGAGTCCATGCGAGGGAGATCAATGCTAAGGTTAACACAAGGCCTGGAACCCAGTGACTGTCCCTCAAACATATCAACCTTCAGTAGGTGCCTCAAACATGATTCACAAAGGGACAGTTGTCTGGGAATAGTTGCTGGCCTGTTAGAGGAATTCCTTCCTGCCTAAGTGGAAACAGATCTATTACCAGGCAACTCAACACTTCAAGCCTGGAGAGGGGCTGGTATAAGGCACATTTGAGTGCAGTCTAGGGTTTATGGAGGGACTTCAGGGTGGCAGTAGTAGGGGAGATTAGCGTGTTACAAACTTTTGTGGCCACCTCCTGCTATGCAATGGGAATATGGCCATCTGTCTCAGGTTTTGAGACCTTCAAGTTAGTACATACAAGACATGTACTCAGAGAACCCTAAGACTGTGCTGAGATATTATTTATGATTTATTAAAGCTTGCCTGAGGATTCAGAAAGCAAAGTCAGCCACAAACCATAGAAGCCAGGCACACACCTTTAATCCCAGTAGCCAGAAACTAGGAGGTGGTGGTACACACCTTTAATCCTAGGACTCAGGATTGAGAGGTAGACAGATCTCTGTGAGTTCAAGACCCCCCAGGGATACATGAAATTGAATCAGTCTAAAAGAGTAACACATCACATGCCTTTAATCCCAGCACTAGAGGGGTATAAAAGATAGGAGCAGGGTCTTCAGTATTCAGTAGGAGCCATTCATTCTCCAGCCACACTGAAGATAGGAGCATTCATTCTCCAGCTACACTGAGGAGAGGTAGCCGTTTGAGGCTTAGCCAGAGCTTGTGGATAAGCCCCTTCAGCCTGAGTTAGAGGTGAGAGCTAGTGGCTGGTTACTTTGCTTTTCTGAACTTCAACTTGAAGTTTGAACCCCAATATCAGTCTCTGGGTCTTTTATTTTTCCTGTTACATAAGACCTGGACAAGGAGGGATTCTATTTCCTCATGGCTTTAGTTTCCAACGTACCTCTTAAGTTAAAGCCTTATGCACTATCCATGTTGAAGGGATGGAATAAACCATCTAGTCCAACCTTAGTGTTGTCTCTCTCTCTCTCTCACACACACACACACACACATACACACACACACACCACACCACACACCCTTCCCACCTAAGTTCCTCAAACAATGCAGGTGATCCTGGCTTCTCATGCTTTTCTCTAAGGTCCCTTTGGGGGCACTCCCTACACCGAAAGCAGTAGGACTGCTTTGGGGGAAATGCCCCAGGGATTGAGAAATCCTTGATCTACTTAGACCCAGAAGAGGTAAACCCGAGGAACTAGGTCAGAAACAGCATAAAACCAATCCTGCTGACACAGCCCAGCTGCCTCAGATCTTTTGGCACTGCTCACAGAAATCTAAGGAATGCCCAGTCAAGAGGCTGATCTCTGTGTGGTTCATCTGCCAGTGCAGTGAATTTCTAGAGAGCATTTATCCCTGAGGTCCCACTGTGGGGAACACATGGGGTGGGAGGTAAGAACCACCACTATAGCCCCAGCTCTACTGTGATCACTTAAAGAGTTAGGTGGTCACTTGGGTCTCTCAAACCCTTCCTCAGCCTCTTGTGGAATGAGAGAGGACCAGTTACCATGGTGGCATCAGACTCCTCTTAACATATCAATCTAGACGTAACCCCTAACCTTCCTCTGTCTCGGCCTTCTATAAGTATGTTTGAGCTGCAATCACTCACCAGGTGAGTTGCTGGAGAAACGTCATCATAGTTAAGCACTGGCCTTTGCTGTAGTCCTCTCAGGTCTTGTTAATGTTGTTAGCATCTTCCATAGACAGTAATCCTCAATTACAACCAAGTAATTCTGTCATCCTACCTTAGTCACCCAATGGCTCCTTGGACAGAGAAGTTGGGAAGCATATTTCTATAATCCTAGATACTGGGTGACAAGGGGAGCCTCACTCCTGTATGGAGGAAGTGACACTTGAAAGGGAAACACAAGCTCTACTAAAAGGGGTGGGGAGACCAAGTAATGGTCTTCATTAGGTCAAGTGCTTGTGATGGACATCAGTCAGGGCCTGTCAGCTCATTCTGGGGAACTGCATTCCACCATTTCACACACGAGTTACTCTTCATGTAAATATTGATCCAGACAAAGCCTGGAGTCAAATGTTTCTGGCATCAGAATGAGGCATTACAACACATACAGGTAAATATCCAGGATTCAGCCTTCTGGCTGCTAGTTGCCCAAGTCCCAGTCCTCCAGGGACAAAAACACCATGTTCGACATCTGAAGCATTAAACCTTTGCCAGTTGTGTGGGAGGAGGGCAAAGGAGGACAAGACACACTGGTGTCCACTTGACGCAAGCCAGCAAAGGACAACACCAGAAGAGGGTTGGTATCAGGGCCCGGTACCTGGTGAGCCAGAGGAAGTGGGACAAGGACTGACGCTTAGCTGAATGTCTAGAAGTCGTCTGTGTGGTAGGGCGCAGAGGAAAGGGCTATGGTCTCTGAAAACAGATGTAGACTAGGTGAGACAGAAAGACGGGCCAGCTGCAAATACTCCCAATGTTGCAGGCCTGGATGAGGCATCCGCTTACATTGCTAGGTCCTTTCACTGTATAACAGGAACACAGCAGGCACCCTGTTCTACCGAGGGCCAGAGTGAAAGCGTTCTAGAAAGGAGGTGCGTGCAGCACAAATGGGGAGGGCCAACAAGGCAGGAGGCAAGGGTATGGGAAAACACTTGTTTTTGGCAAAGACGTTAAGAGTTTAAAAAAATTATTAAAGAAGGGAAGCCTTCTAAGGCACAGGATAAGGGGAAGAGATGCAGGTCTGGAGAGGCGGAGATGGGGCTAAAGGCATTAGGAAGCATCCAGCCTGCAGCCCACAGACCACAAGCATCCCAGCATAGCTATGAATGTAGAAGGCCATGTCATGTCACAAGTCAAAAGGTTGGACACTCTAGAACAGAACTACCAGCCACATCTTTTCATATAGTTATTTCTTAAAGTGAAATGATCAAAGCAACTACTTAGGATGCATAGCTATTTGAGGTCTCTTACTAAACCACTAGATAAACCCAAGTGCTGGAAGCCATACTGTTTTAAAACACTGAGACTGGGAGGGTAGATCATAGGTCAATGCTTGCCTGAGACTGCAGGTCAATCCTCATTTGCATTAGAACAAGTAAGGGAAGACATTACCTAGAGGAGGGATTAGCCACTGGTTTCAAGTCTGCAATAAAGATCTGCCTCAGCTAGCCAGGGACCTTGGAAAAGGGATTTAGGGCCTTCAGGGTAGCCACACCCCCCACAGTACCTGACATGGTACTGCCAAAGTAGTAAGAGACTCTTCATCTCCATGATTCTTTCGTTTCCGGGACAGGGTTTCTCTAGGCTTTGGAGGCTGTCTGCATCCCCATGTTTCTTAAAACCTAAAGTTTACCACTCAAGACCAAAGTGGGGTGGGGGGTGTGGAGGACACAGACAAACAAAAACCAGCAAGGAGCATAACTGACAAGTTGGGGTTTTTTTTTTTACACTTTTAAATATACCTTTATTTCTCAAACTCAAAGCTTTATTTCATCAAGTTCTAATACATTTGCACTGATAAGAAATCTCATCTGCATCAAGTAAGAAGGTAAGCGGCCAGTACCAAGGAGGAAGCTGGTACCTCTAGACACTGTTGAGGATGCATCAGCCTGTGCAAACACAGAAATGGGAGCTGCCAGTGGAGTCCACTGGGCAATTTTGTCTTCATCCATGTCAGTTTGGAAGTGAATAGATGCTTCAGGAAAACCAAGTTTCCACAAATACACAAAAAGGCCCGGTAGATGGATTCTCTTTTGTAAAGTCCCCAAATGATGTTAATTAGCTCCTTCCTCTTTAGTGGATGGTCACCTCACCTTCCTACATAAACACACATGAGAATTTGCACCAAATCTCAATAGCCCAGGTAAAACTCCAGAACTCTTTAAGCTTATACTTAAAGTACTTTTTTTAAGTGATAGGTAAACAAGATGAAGGCACTTGAATTCATTTAAAAAAACAAAAAACAAAAAACCCAGTAATTTTCTTTCCTCAGAGAGTTCCACAGATAATCCTGAGAGGTTGCCAGGCCTTTCCAAAATCAGTTGTGAAATTGTGAAATTCTGTTCTCAAGATTAATGATGTAAATCCAATTTTGAGAATTAGGAACTCTTTCAATTTCTAAAAGCACACCTCCAAGGGTTTTCCCCAATGCAGGTCCCATTAGACACTCAAGAAGTAATGGCCGGGAGGCATCAGGATGCTTGGATAACTTTACCTTACCCAGCGTATAGACGAAAGCTTTTGAGTTAAGTCTAGCTATGTCCTGAAACAGGGTACCAGTACAAGAGAGATCACCACAGGAAAGATCAAAGTTGGTTCTGAGTGGTGACATGTCTGAAAACTAAAGCAGTACTGGGTAAAATCCTAACCCACCATGAAGGGGCTAGCGCCCAGTCAGCTAGAAGGTGAGCAGACTGTGGGCTTAGCAAGATGACTATTTCTACATTACCACAAAGCACAGATCCACACACAGCTCACTTTGACAGGAGTTCCAAGTTAAGTCAAACAGGAGGGGGAAAATACTGGAAAAGTCAAAAAAAAAAAAAAAAAGCAAGAAAACAAACAAAAAACCAAAACTCAAGAACCAAGACAAGAATTTTCCCTACCCTACTTCACTCATCTGCCATGTCCAGGTGTAGGCCATGACTCAGTCCATAAACAGTCACCAGGAATTTAATTTAGAGGTGTTAGTAACCAGAGTCTCGTCTCAGCATTAGAGTGACTGACCAAGGAACAGCATCTTGTTGCCAAGGAGGAGGGTGTGAGGCTGGAGCTCAAGGCCAAGGACCGTGTGTGTGTGTGTGTGTGTGTGTGTGTGTGTGTGTGTGTGTGTGTGTGTGTGTGTGTGTGTGTGTGACTCAATGATGAAGGCACAGTTTAACCCAACTGCTGGTGACTCTGAAGAGTAGACTGGGAGGGCAGACCCAGTTAGAGCCTGCACTTGCATTTCAGTGGCCTCTGACAAAGCCAAAGCCAAGTTTCTCATTACCCAAAACACACACACACACACACACACACACACACACACACACACACACACACACACAGAGGAGCCACTGGATACACGACAAATAAGGGTGTCTAGTGCGCATGCAAGTAGCACCAAAGGCAGGTTCCAGAAAGAACTTCCTGACTTCTGAAATGCAAGGTTCCCTGGCGTCTTTCTGGTCTGGCAGAAGGTTCACAGAGCAGGTGGATACACCTCTAGTACAGACCACGACAATCCAAGTGTTGTGTCTTAAAAACGGAGCGTTGGTCAATGCAACTTTTTACTATGATGGTTCTAAGACACACACCAACTCTCAAACTACCTAACAGCTGGGCGGGGCAAAGAAACTACCAAGAGGGCAGTCATAGAGCGGTGGTTTACAACTTCTGTGTGTCTCTCTCCATTCTCAGGTGACTATGACCAGACTGGAAAAAAATATATAAAGCAGAAAGGATTCCAAAAAGAAGCCAGATGTTTTTTAACAGCGCCCCACTGGTTCCTAAACCTTCTCAGTGGAGGCTATCCTGATTTCTGCTTCTATTAGCAAGTGCTTGCATTGAGAGAGGCTCCAACCCACTTCAAAAACTCTGATTAAACAAATCTATTTCTGTGCAAACATGCTCTCATTTCACTACAAAGGCAGCATTTTAAGGTCATGGATGACCGGTGGTTTTTAAAGTTGGGTTCGCTTTTCATTACCTTCCTTTCAACACTCAAACAGCTCAGGTCCCATCACAGAATGCAAAGCTAGTGAATTCAAACATAACTAAGATTCACAGGGCAACAGAAACTTAGTTATACTAAGTGGCTTCTGGTGACCTAGCTTAATATAAAGGCCAGTGAAGATGCACGGCAATCAACTCTTAAGGGGACCAATAACCCACATTCCAGAAGAAACTTGAAAACACAACACTAGAAAAGGCCAGCTACTTCATTTGCACTAAGCTTTTTTGCATGAAGATAACTAGATTGTTTAAAGCAAATACAAAGCAATCGCTTGAACCTTTGAATTTTTATGGTCACTGGACAAAGTGAAAATTGAGTTCATGGATCTGATGGAATGACTTTAGAAATTAAGCTTGCTGGTGATACTGAATATCCTTCCCCTTGATACTAAAGTGCATTCTAAAATATCCCCTGGAAAGTTTCAAAGAGTGAAATCTCTCATCTGAACCTTCTAGGTAAGGCAACAGTTGCCCAGGCCTCTTCCCATGGACTGCTTGCTTTGGGCCAGCAATTAACACTGTTTTCCTTCTGAAGTACAGAGCATAAACACAACGCTCAAATCTACACAATAAGAAAGGTTACCCTTCACTCACTCAACTCTTCCCCAAATACAGCAGAGTGACAGCAAAGCACCTTGGTGACTAGAACACACAAGGCCAGACGACACTAAACACCTACTTCCCTGCAACTTGGAGAGGGCAAGTGAAATTCAAAAGCGGGTTCACTGGTTACTCTTTTCTCCTGAAATTCCCAAATTTTCCTGCTGTGAAAAATATCTGGGGAATGCAATCGCTGTTTTTGAAGGGATTGGAGAAGAAAGGTCAACGTACTCCAGCAAAATAGCTGTCATACTGGGAATGATGTCCAAAAGTAGGCTACCAATTAAAACATGGGAAAAACCTCGTATCAGACATGACAGTGACTCTAAATACAACACAGTCCTAACTCTCAGGAAGAGCAAACAAGAGTCAGTCATCAGAGAGCCAATGAGGAAGGGAAAAACATGTCATCCTATAAGAATTCCTTACAAAAAAACAAAAACAAAACATTCATGTTTCCTATTGACAATCGCCACCCCCACAATTCTACTTTTAACATTATGTTCCACATTTTATTTTGTTTTCAAGTTACATTTCAAGAAAAGGTCATTTTTTTTTCTCCACAATATCTCATAATTCCTTGATACAGCCCAGCATCTACCATAAACCACTTCCAACCAGATCTCAAGTCTCCAGCTATTGGCTTTGGTTTATTGATGAACGAAACTCTCAGCTCTGCTGACAGGGACTAGACATACACAACTCAGTCCCGTGAAGGAAAATTCGGTCACAAAGAGCACCCTCGTGTTTACCAGTTTGGGGGGGGCTGACTAAAACGGACACAGTAAGAGACTATCAGCACAGCTTCTGTGTAACTGCTGAGAATCCTGAATGAGAGCCTGCACAGGAAGGAATGTAGGCTTAGCCAAGAAGAGAGACTTTAACACTTCTTGTATGCTGCCCAACTCTCCCAATATCAGAGACTGTGCAGAGTTCAAATTCCATGTGCTAATATCTGGGAAGTGACAAGTTAGTGACTATCTTAGAAAGTAGTAGAGAGGTCACACACTTCCTATTGCATCTTCCAGAGTGGCACTGTAATATGGTCCTTTGAGGGTTGGCTCACCATAGTCTGTGGACCTATTCCGATGGGCTCACAAAGAAAAGCAGTCAGAGCTGAGTTCCCCTTTAAAAGCCAAACACCTACGTCTAGGAGGAGGCTCTCCTACCCAAGAGCCCCTGCCCTAAACGGGTTCCCACTGTGGAAACCCTCAGGTCTTAAGATTAGTTACAGGGCAGCCATGTAGGATAAGGCTGGCTGTAGGTGACTGGAGGATGGGCAATGTAATAGTTGTTGAAGTTGCCATCGCTGACGTAAGGGGCTGGCTGGTAGTAACAGGTGACGTTGGTGGCGCTGGGGATGATGTTTTGCTCTGCCAGCACTCGCAAGGCCAGGAGAGAGATGAGGTTCAGGGTCTGCCTGCGTTCGTGCCCCATGAGGCACACGGTGCTTTCGTTCACTACCCTGCGAAGAATCATGAGGTAGTCGTACTTGCTTCTCTCTTCTTCGGCGAAGTGGTTTTGAAGGTAGGTCTCCAGCTTCCTCTGCTGTTCCAGGATGTCCGGGAAGTCGATGAAAAACCTGGAGCACATGTAACGCTCCAGGGTCTTGATTTCCTCCTGGTCAGCAGGCCTGAAGTCCCGCACCAGAAGGTTGCTGTACTTAAGAAGACCCCCACCTCGGATTTCTTCAGGGTTCTTGGTGGCGATCAGCCTGTTCTGAAGATGGTCAAAGGCTTCCTCAAAATCCCCGTACACACTCTCCCCAATCACTGTGGGATGGAAATGCTCAGAGATGGGATTACTGGAGCAGTCATAGAACAAAAGCAGAGAGTCTAGGATGATCTGGAAGGAGTCCACGCTGAACTCAAACTGACGCCGGATGGAGTCAACAAACTTGAGCTCCACATTTCTCCCGTTCTTGTTGGAGAGGGAAATCAGACTCCAGCGGTCTGCATCTGTGCAAACCTTCACCAGCTTCTGCACATATGCCTCCTTCAGGGTGACTGGGCTGATTTTGAGCTTGTTCACACCCTCCGGCAGAAAGTTCAGAAGGGAACACAGAACCACATCTCTCACCAGCTGAAATTCTGCCTCTGTGGGAAGAGCCACATGAAAGATCAGATCCAGATCTTTGCAACCCAAGCCGTTGTCTTTGACCAAAACATGGCCAGCAGCAGAGCCATTCAGTCGGACATCCTGAACTTTGATGCCTGCCTCCTCCAGTCGGCTGCGGACAGTCTGTACGATGTCCTTAAGGGTTATCTCCAAGGTTGGAAAGTTGCCTCGTCCATGGACAGGTACGACCTCGGTCAGGACCTCATGCAGCCGGCTAACCTGATCCCAGTTGAGCACGCTGATAGACTCACAGTCCCTGGTACTGCTGCCCTCCTCTGCCATCTTGGGGGATGTTCTGGCCAGGGGGAGCTGAAAAGGGGTGAAAAACAGAGTTAGGACTTTCGTGGGCACAAAAAAGCCAGTGGAGGACCTCAAAGGCATCCACTTATCAACTTCCTGTAAAACAAGTCAGTGCTGCCTGCTATTCACCAAGGCTGTGAACATGAAACACATTAAACATCAAGAATGGCATCCACAAATGCACAAGCTTCATTCTACAGCAAGATGGATATTGGCATTGCTTTGCATGGGTGCTCTTGAGGCTGGTGGTGTGCTTGTCCTAAGTGGGGGAGGGGCAGAGCAGGCTGCTTTGTGTGAAGAAAAGCAGATAGACTAACCATGTTACCTAAACAACACCAAAGAGCCTATAAAGGGGCAGAGAAACAGAAACTGTTATGAGATATTTGTACACTGTATGAAGACATATTGCTGGATTGGTTTAATAAAGAGCTGAATATCTAGGCAAGAAGCATATATGGGACTTCCAGGTGGTGAAAGAAGTAGGAGATTAATCTAGGCACCAGAGCAGCAGGGAATGAGTTGAACACACAAATGGGATAGAGGTAAAACATACATTAATAAAAATATGGGTTAATTTAAGTTGTAACAGCTAGTTAAAAACAAGCCTAAGCCAAAGGCCAAGCTTTCATTAATTAATAAGTCTCTATGTCTTTATTTGGGAGCTGGCTGGTGGGACAGAGAAAGACTTGCTACAACCTGTGTGTCTTGCTAATTTTTTCTGGCTTCCATAGAAGTTACTTCTGTTTTTAGCTCCCAAACTATATCTCAAACTGGGAAATACCTAAACCCTAATACTCAGTGCAACACACACACACACACACACACACGCACGCACGCACGCACAATCAACACTGCTCCACTTGCTCTAGGAATAGCTATGAAAGACACTTACTTTTCATATATGTGCCTAATCTACCTTAACGACAAATACTACATCATCTGGGACAGAGCAGAGTTGTTTGTAGGACAACAGTTATGGTCAACCAAAAGTCAGATGTGCTTTGTGGTTAGTGTTTCCTTCAGCAAGGATGCAAAGAGCCTAAGGGCAGGTGAACTTCTGCAAAAGGGTTCCTTAAAGCTCCTTAAGGGGAATAAAATTAAAACTGAATATGAGAGTCAAGCAGTGGTGGCGCACACCTTTAATCTCAGCACTCAGGAGGCAGAGGCAGGCGGATCTCTGTGAATTCAGGGCCAGCCTGGTCTATAGAGCACGTTCCAGGACAGGCTCCAACCCTGTCTCAAAAAACCAAAACCAAATCAAAACAAAAACAAAACTGAATATGAGATAGGAAGTACACACTGGAACCACAAAATTTCCCAAATAATTATGTGTGTGTATGCACACAGTGTGCTAGGGACTGAACCCTGGGCCATGAGCATGCAAACAAAGTGCATGAGCTGCAGTTTCACCTAGTAACTGAGAAGCATATCTCACTTCCACAGAGATGAAAATGATGGCATACCAGAAATCCCAATACGCAAAAGCAAAATGTTCATTGTGTATCTCATTGTGCCCTAGCGTTGTTTAGATGTCATCCAGGCAGACACAAAAGCTGAAACACCAGGTCTTGGTGCAGTCTTCCACCCTAAAAAGCTCGGTGCAGACAGAATTCCCCCAGCCACAGCTTCATTGTTTGGAAGCTGCTGCTTTTTAATGCACACCAGTACAACTCCTTGGGCTCCGACATGGATTTTGAGCCCGGTCCAGGGATTTGTGGCAGCAACAGTGTCAGGGCACCACTACTCGTGTGTGGGGATGAGTTTCCACAGTTCCCCATCACAAAGACAGTAGAAGACTCTCAAGGAGGGGTGTGGTCTACACAACTCTGGTGGAAGGAAACAAATACAACATAAAGACATGAGAGGCTGTCCCTCAACTGGGGCCAAAAGGAAAGCCACAGAAGCGATCACTTGCAAAGAGGGGACACCAGATAACAAAGCCATGGTGAGCTATTGCTGGGACAACAGGGGGGAGGAAAGCAGTGCGTGGCTAGTATGACAATGATCTGGGGGCGACAGGACAGCATAGTAACACAAGGCCAGGGTCTGTCACTTCGTTCAGCTGGAGAAGGCCAGTTTCCCCAGGATCAAAGTAGGCTCTAGTGGCTCTGGGGTTGAGTGCCCCTCTGCTTGCTGTAGCAAAGCATTTGTCAAGGGGAAGATGAAAGAGTCTTTAGAGTCTGCAGCTATTTAGGCCGCCCATCCAAGCGAGCGTGGACCGCCTCGGTGATGGACAAGCACTGCCTACGACGCACACCTAACATCTATTGTGGCTGGCATTTGCCTCCAAGCCACATTTGGGACAGCTGGGCTCTCTTTTCTCTGTGCTCACTGTATACTCAGTGGTTCTTTGTTTCCTTTCTTTTTTTTATGATCAGTATACAGAAGACTTGTGCCTAGACAGTTTCGAATGCTTTCAGGAAGGTATTATGGTCTGAGCCCTGTTTGGAGACACAGCCAGAAGCCAGACCACCTGCAGTCGGGGTGAGGTGGGTTTCAGTCAGGCACGCTGGCTGAGTTGCTTTATGCTGTCTGCCACCCGTTACACTTCCCAAGGCTCTCATGTTTGACACAGGTCTGATAAGTCACATTGTGGCCAGCAAATGAGATGCAAGGAACAATGTTAAGAAAATCTCCAAAAAGGACGGTAGTAATGTTACAGCATGAGTAAGTATAGGAAAAGCCTTTGATTCAAGCCTTAAAAAGAAAAGTTATATAAGGCTAAAAATCTAGAATATGACAGAAGGGTCATCTATGGATCACGGAGAATCTAGGAGCCATAACTCTTTCCTTTGAGGTGAAAAGTATGTGTGAAGACGTTTACACAGTTTTAAATTGGCAGCAGATTCACAGTTGGCACCTACATTACACTGAGTATCTGTGTGGGTCGCATGAGAGGCAAGGCAGGAATAGTCTGAAATGCTCTGAAATGGAAAGGCGGAATGCCAGCCTGTAAGAGAGGGGAAGAGTCCCGAAAACAGAAATGTAGTAGCAGCACAATAGGACAAACTGTTGAGACAGAATTTTCCAAGTATGTATATCAAATACATACCATGACTGATTATAAAGAAGGAAGCATTTCGAAACAGTAAACGAAATTATGTATGGGGGCTCATGCCTAGAATTCTAGCACTTAAGAGGCTGAGATAGGAGGATTTAAAGTTTCAAACTAGCCTGGGCTAAATAGAGAGATCCTGACTCAAACAAAAATAACCCAACCCATAAATAAAAACGTAAATAAAAATGGTGCTGAGAAAACAAGCAATCACACATTTGGATTCCTACTGTATATATTTTTAAAAGCTGGTTCCCTATTCTCCTGCTAAAACCAGATCTACTTGGTAAGGACAGGGATTAAAAAACTAAGATCTAGTTCAGTGATTCTCAGCCTTCCTAAGGCTACCATCCTTTAATGTAGTTTCTCATGCTGTGGTGACCCCCCAGTCATAAAACTATTTTTGTTCTTTTATAACTGTAATTTTGCTACTGTTATGAATCATGATGTAAATGTGTTTTCTTAGGTGACCCCTGTAAAAGGGTCATTCAAACCCCAAAGGGGTCATGACCGAAAAGAACTCTAGGAGTGACTAAAGAAAACCTGGAATTTCCATACAAGTTTCAATGGTAGGTAAGACTAAACCTTCTTGAACCACAGTAAGCCAGTCACAAAACCAGACAGGTTTGACTACATAAAAATTAAAACGTTTACATGATACAAAACATTCAGAAGACATACAAAAGAAAACATTCGTAACTTTAGGCAAAGTATTTATTTCCTTAGTAAGTAAGAAGTCACAATAAATGCAAGACCCTAAAAGAGAAAGGGGAAAAAATATAAGCAGTGGTGGCACAAAAAACTCAACCTCACTCAGAGGGCGGCCAAACTAAAAGCCCAGTGCCTGCAACCCACCACGGCAGCAGAGCTCAGCTCGCCGGTGGGACAACAGACAGCTCTGGTGCTTGGCTCCTGGCTCTTTGAAGACAGAGGTGAGACTCTCAACTTTTAAGTTCCATTACCCTTTGATGTGGTCATTCTATATCTACTCCATCTCCTCTGAACTCTTGTATAGTTGCAAGTATGCACAGAGACAGTCATTGGGGAAGACAGAAAGCTGGGAGGATGCATCACATCAGAAGGGGTGAAATGATGTCACGTGAGTATACAGCCATGCACAGAAAACTGTAGTTGTTCAAAAGGAGGGTGCTGCTCTGTGTGTAAGAATGTAAATGCTCATGACTCATGAGTGGGTAAGTGGAAAACTGTGCAGGAAAACTGAGTGCAAAACTTCATGCCGAAACAAGCTGACACATAACTCAGTCTATATTGAGCACTATCTTCAGTTTGGAGTGGGTATGGAAGACATTGCATTTTGTACCCTTTGGATGTGGCGTACTCACTGATAAAAACAAAATCTTGTGAGCCACAGCGCAAGGTCTTTCTCGTATGAGAATTTTACTCATTCGCTCCCCGGTGTTTAATTTCTTCAGTTCCCCTCACTGCCTCATTCCCATATCTATGCACCAAATGAATCAAATCGATTTGGAAGCTTTCCCTCCATGCTGAAAGTGTTGAATAGAGTGTTTTCCCTGTAGAAGGCCTTCTGTCAAATTTCTACCTAAGACATCCATTGTTCGTGTTCAAAGACAAGCTCAAAATAACAACAGGCCTGTTCATCTCAACGTAGTGTTCGGTACCTTTCAACTGTTTCCCAGGGCAGCTGCTCCTCACTGCAGACCTATCAAAGCTGCCTTCGCTCTTTTTCTTAAGTCAGTAAGTGCATTTTCAGGAACTCAAAGAGTCTTATGTTGGCATTTTCTATACCAGTTTCTTTGGATATAAATATGAATGGGGGAGTAAACTTTGGGGGAAAAAATGGAGCCCATAAAAAGCACACTATGGGGCATGAGCTGATGACACATCCATAGTATGGTCTTTCATTCTCCCAGTTTATCATAACTTGCTCCTGATGAGGCTGAGCTGACTCAAATGCATTTATAAATTTACCTAC